GCTCGTCCCCGCCGCTCGCCCCCGCCGCTCGCCCCCGCCGCCCCCCTGGGACACCCGGTTCGTCTCTTTGCGCCTGCAAAAAATCTAAATCGAGTCACCTGGGCGCTGACCCAATAGCTTCGCAGCTCCGAAACGTCTTCTCTCCTTTCACAAATACCAAATAAGTTCCACCTACAGCTCAGGCACATCCAAGAGCCAAACCCGCTCGACCCCCGTGAAACCAGCCATTCCCAAAGGGCTCAGGGCGCCACTTTGACACCTGAGAAAAAGCAAACACAGTGGGACCAACTCTGCACAACAGCTGCCAACAGCGACTGGTCACGAGATGGCCCCTATGGTCCCTGCCAAAACTAAGCAGATGTGCGGTAACAGATCAGCCTGGTACTGCACCACCGTACCGCTACATTACCCCGACCCTACCATTGCTACACCCCCACGCAGGATAGCTCCAACCCGAACACACACGCAGGCTGACGGTGCACGGACACACAAACAACATGACTGAAAGATGTGAGAAGATCTGTTTGTTTGAAAACAAAGTTTGAAATTTGTTTGAAAACAAACTAGTGGGAGACACTAAGTCAGAATAACAATTTAATAGGTAAATAAAAAGAGAAAAAAAATTATAAAGGCAGATAACACTGGGTTAAACTGACAGAGTCCCCTTACCCTGCACACTGTCCTCAGGCACTTTTTACTGAGTGCAGAGACTGCAGGAACTACGGCAAAGTGGTAGAGTGCAAAGAATAAGGCAACTTTTAAATTAATGCACATAACCACCACTCGGGAGTGACTGCCACGGCCCTCCAAATGCCAGCACCCTCTCCCTTCCCCTGACACCTTCAGAGCCATTACTGCAGTATCATTCCTCAGTTGGATGGGTTCTTCAGCTCCTGCTGCTGCTCTTAAGTGACAACTCACCGAGTAACTTCCAGCCTCTCCTCTGCTCTTTCCTTCATGGAGAGGATTCAGTTCTGCTATCTGAGCAGAAAAAAGAAAACCCCTCTGATCGCGCCTGTCTGCACTTCTGCGCTACCCCTAGAGCCCTGCAATAAACTTCCACAGCTCTCACCTCCCCACAACAGCCTGTCTCTGTGCACCATGGCTGCACTGCATCAAACCCAGCCACTGGATCCGAGCTCACAGCTGAATGCTGGGGCACAGGGGGAGGTTACTGCCAATATTCTGAACAGAAAAGTCACGTCCAGTGAGGAGTGAGCAGTCAGCATAACTATTTACCTGAAAAGGTGGAGGCCAGTGCTGTGCTACGGCCTACGCTGGAAGTGCAGCAGAGCAGAACACACACACCAGAAACACTCTACGGTTGCTGACACAGGCTGGGTTTCGGCCACCATTCCTAAGTGACCGCACGCAGATGGCCCACGTCAGACCTTGCTAGAAAGACCTATGACACAACAACATTTCAGAAAGCAGAGGTAGATGCAGGCGAGTGCTGTGCACAGGTGGAAGAGGAGCAGAATGGGGCTAATGATACCAGTTTGTATTAAGAGAGATATGTGGCTCAGTGACAGCATCACAATCACAATTCAAGATGAACTGGGTGGCAGTCCTGCCTAGGGGGACAGAGGTCCAGGAAGCTTGGCAGAGGAATGTGAAGAGAAAAAGTGATGCAGAGCTAGACAAACACAGAGATGGATGAAGGGCTAGAAAAAGATAAGAATGTATAGCCAGACAGATGCACAGGGACACAGGTACAGAAAGAAAGTGATGGAGGGCCAGAAAGATGAATGGAAGACCAGACAGAGGGACAGGGAGTGGAAAAGAGGAAAAGAGGGATGTAGAGGTGGACAGACAGATACAGGTCAAAAAAGATGGATGGAGAGCCGGGCAGGGGGTAAGGGAACTGGAGAGACAAACTGAGTGGGACAGAGAGGTGTACAGAGAGATGGGCAGAGAAAGGAAGGAATGGATTGCCTAACAGGGGACAGCAGGCACTGGGTGTGAAAGCAAAGCATGAAGAGCTGGACATAGGGACAGGGAATGGAAGAGAGGACAAGAGGGATAGCAAAGCAGAGGGATGGAGTGAGAAACAGATGAGGAGCTGAACAGAGGAATGGGAAGCATATTGTAAAATACGGAACTGAGTAGAGCTCCTATTCTGGTGCTAAGAACTGGTTTGACTAAATAAAACGTGCAAGATTAAGTTGTGCTTGGAAGCAAAGATGGGTAAAATGTTGCTACAGAAAAAAATTAATGAAATTCTTGACAACGAGGCAAGGGAAAAAACAGAAGACTGGGGAGGAGGATTGTAAACATGCCCAAGTGACTTGCAGCTAGCATGCAGAAGACCACATACATCCTACTAATTGTTTAGTCTTGTGTGTTTGACAAGTAGAACATTTGTGTCTAGAGAACATATCCCTTGACAGACCCAGAGGCACTCTACTGACCACGCTTGAGATCCCTGCCCTGCTGTGGGAAAGGTCAAAGCACAGTGGTGAACTACACCTGCGTGACTCCATGGCATGCAGGCAGCCCCAGCAGGACCAGGGATCCTCTAGCAAGGACCCAGCTCTGCAGTGCCTGTGTCCCCGCTTGTGTACCTCTGCCCAGGTGCTGCTCCGGGGATCCCCTGGTCACGAGGCAATGAAAATAAATTTACTCTTTGCATTTCATCCATGGTTTTGAGGTTGTTCCTGCGTCCTGCCTATGCCAGCTCACACAGACCTGGATGGCTTTCTAGTGATTCTGAAAGATTTGCTCAGTTTGAGGTTATACTGTGGGTTTGTTTTGCCTTTCAAAATTCTGGATGGGATGCAGTGGAATGGGTTTAGATACATACTTCAGGATAGTGAAAGATGCCTCTCTTGACCTGGAATTTGGAATCAGAGATGCTGGCAAGGCTCAGGAAAACAGGGCATGGCAATGTGAGATACGTCAGATTTGTGATAATTCAAAGGACAAAGTTTTGGTAGGAGAAAGTAGATTCAAAGTTTGTCATTGCAGTGGAACTGTGATAAGGATTTCAGAGTTGCTAGGAGCAGGGTGCTTTTCAGGATGGTGGTGAAGCTGTGATGGGGGATATGAAAGTTGTTGGGAACAGGAACAGACCACTTTCAGGCTGGTGGTTCTCGGTCCTTTGAGGTGTTAGTAAACGGGGTATAAAGTTACACCAGTCTCCCATTTGAGATGTTCTTTTCCTGCAGAATCACAAGGATTATTTAATGACAAACCCTTAAGAGAAGAAGCTCAACTGCTCATTTGAGTGCTGTGGTTATGACAGACTCTCCAACCAAACTGGACTTTGGACTGTTTGCTGCAAGATCAAGCCTTTCTTTCTGAAGTGCTAGACTAAAGGCACTTCTGTTACTGTGACCAAAGTTGGTTCAAAAACTGGTTATGGTTACAGTAGGCCTTACTATGTATCAGATTAATTGCCAGTATTGTAGCCTAAGGCAGTATTGTCTATTCAGTAAGGTGGGTTTTTTTTAATGATTACAGATCAATACATAGTTCTCTTAGTATTAAAACTGTGAAGGTCAAGTCTTGGGTGGCCATCTCTGCTGACTGAAATACAGCTTGAAAATGTGTAGCCAAGTGGAAAGCAAATTTCAGAAGTAAATTTAGCCTTGGTCTTCCAGACCCAAGGGGGTGACAGTGAATTCTAGTGTCTTTTTGGTTTAGGAGATTTTTGCTTTTTCTGCTTATCAATTGTTTCATCCTTTTGCAGGCCTGTTCCTGCCAGAAATTTTGTGGAGGAAGAAATAAAGACCTTAGAAAGTGAGTGTATGTCTTTCTGTGTTGGCTTGGGATTCTCAATTCACACTCCAAATAACATTTCTTCTGTCAGGCAGCCCTGTCTCATCGACAGGAGGTGATAGCAGCCTTGGTTCTGGGGAAAGTCTGCATTGAAAAGCTGAAGTTAGTGCAGATAGCAAATGCACTGCATACTTTTCTAGGACAAAACGTTTACAGACTATGCAAAATAGGAATCTTGTCAGAGAGGTGAATGGTCTGTTGAAGTTTCAGGGCTTTATCTGACAACGTTGCACACCTTTTAACTTCTACTGTCAGCTGTTGACCAGGCTTAGTTTAAAAGCTCGCTCTTTGTATTTGTCACCGAGACTGGCACCTTGAGTGAGGAACTGCAGGAGCAAGAGAAGGGCCATTAAAAAACCAGCAATCTGCCTGGCTACTCATCAAGTTGTGGAGAGGGGACAGGAAAAGACAAGCTTTCTGTCGCCCCCTGAGCTTTCTGCTTCCCTGCAATTCCCCCACTGTAAACTTCCTGAGACCCCCTTGGCTTCAATCAGCATTCTCAGATTGGCAGTGAAGCTCACTGTACAGCCCTCGGAGGTTTTTTGTTTGTGTTTTTTTGTGGTGGTTTTTTTTTTTTTTCTTTTTACTTTCTCCATAGAGTTCTGGACAGTGCTAGCAAAGACCCTAAAATTCAAGACAATTTGTCTACTGAGGACTGTTTACAGGTGATGCAAAAATGAGTCTGAAAGTACCTGTATTATCTTTTTGTGTTCTGGTCCTGCTCCTTGGCATCCAGCTGTCCTTAAAAGAAAAAAAAAAGCCTCCATATTTAAAATCTGTTTCAGGAGAGCAGTATGTAGAGCATTTGCACATACAGTCCTGACAGACTGACTGGAAGCAATCCAAAGTCTCTGAAATAAGGTGTGCAAAGGAGGGGAACAGTTCTGACGGGGTCGAACTACTCCAGACTCCCTGGCACAAGCCCCTAGCAAAGTCCTGCTGGGTGCTGTGGTGGCTGAGCCCAAGAGGGAGACACACAGCCTGTCCGGGCACTGCCCAAAATGTGCATCCCTTGCTGCCCGGCTCCTCTTAAGAAACCTGAATGCAAAATACTTTTTTCTGCCATGATCCTCACTGGGGTAGACAAAAAATATGGTATTTTACTGATGGATACGAGTGATATAACTGGCAGCATTTAAGGCCTGAAGAGAGGGGAATTGTGGATAATAGCTTAAATCAATAAAAACCTTAAGTAAAAAACCACAGTGCACCCACTACAAATGTTATTCTGTTGCAGTGGTATGTTTACAAAGGTAGATACATTAAAAGGAAATATATAACTATATATAAAAATCTATCTGTTGTTATAGATATTGCACTGTTGTGCATTACCCATTTTAAGATATATGCATAATAAATTATACACACATAAAAATTTTTACATATAAAATAAATATATAAGAACTCTTGGTCAAAGTTGATTAGTAAAAAGTGAGGAAAGAATTCCTTCAAGCTGGACTACATGGCTGTAGCCACTCAGTTAAGTTGTACTTAAAAAAAATAATCAAGGAAGGAGGATATTAAATTTTATTGATTTCCTGTTACTCACTTTCTAAACAAAAACTGACCAACAGTGTCAACACTACAGTAATTTGCTGTTACTGTGTTACAAAAAAAGCTTTGTCTGCCCAGTTCTGGAGAAGCAGCAGTCCCGGACTGCCTACATTGTGCTGGATTAAATGTAATGACTGAGAGAGGCAGAGCGCTCCCTGAGCAGGGAACAGCAGGACTCAGGGATGCACGCTCCAGAGTGCGAGAACAGCTTGCCTACGCAAGGCAGGTGGGAGGACCATCTGCTTCAAGGACTGCTTTTTGTTAATCAAGATCTTCAGTACCAGATGTAAGAGCTGGAATACTGATACATCACACAGAAAATACTAAACATTACACAACTTTTTTGTCTCTAATGAGACATATAGTTCATTATCAGAAAGAACTGTGTTCCTTAGACAAAGTAAATGCTTTTATTTCAGGTATGGTTTGGGGTGAAAAACCATGAAGGATGTGGTCTTTCAGTAGTGAGTATAATTTAGATTAAGAATTTTAAAGCATCAAAAATCAGTGTTTTCTAATACTAAGAAAAAAAATAGAATAGTCTTTCGGTCACAAAAATTTGAGCAACAGCCTATGTTACACATCACTGTTGCTCATCATTTTGACCAGGTGCAGGACAACTGGC